GCGCTGCGCTTTTGTAACTGATCAGCCTCGTGCTGTCAGTTCGGTGGCGCTAGTAAACACGATCTATTTCGACCTCACTCAGACCGTCACCACGGTCTTACCTTGAATGACACCATTCTGCTACCCTTTCCGAGACCTAATATAAACCAAGTCAGGTGACTGACCCTGAGTGGTTGGTTCACTATAAAACATCCGGGTGAACAAAGCACTTCCTCTTTGCCTTCTCGCCTCTTCTGAGACCGGTTCGGAGAATCCGCGCGTATACGCTGATATTGGAAAATTACCCATTCAATCCATCACTATAGTGCAGGCACCTGGTGCCCCTGAGGATTGCGGTAATTTTTCCTTTTTACCCTCTATATTTAGGTAAGTGGTTATTGTTTATATTATTCTGAATTACGAGTTGATATTTGTTTACAGATTGTATTCTGGTGCTTTTGGAAGCATACGGATTGGTAAGTAGTTTGTTTTTGTGCTATTATTCATAAAACTAAAGGAAGATTTTTTTTTTGTTTGGTTCCGCTGTTCGCAGCGGGGGGATTTTCCCACCTGTTGATCTGTGCGTTCGCGCATAGAATAGGTGTCGGTACCTCCTAATTGATCTAGTTTGTCTTTTTGACTGAACAAACTGAGAATTGATATGCTTCCACTGTGATACTACTGTTTGCAGTGGATTGAGTGAAGTTTTATTTGGCTTTGGTTGTGTTTACACACAATACTGTACGCAGCTGTATTGGATATTCAACAATCATGAGTCAACCATTATGCTGTTACTGTCATGCTACTTTGCATCCTCGTGATGGTCACCGGGAATGTCCATCATGTTTGGGAATGGCTCATTTACTGGAGGACATTGAAGATCCATGTCCGGCTGCTGTAAATTTCTCTCTGCAAGAAAGGGTGCAAAGGGCCCGGTTTATTAAACAGGTAGGCTCCAATAGTGGAGTCCAGTCATCGAAGGTTGATACACACTCCCTTAAACGAAGAAGAGAACATTCTCCTAGCTGCTCTGAGGCCACCTGTGAGAAAAGGACAAAAAATTCAGATTCACATTCTGACACCCAGCAGCAAATTTTGGCAACCTTACGAGATCTGGCTGGGAAGATGGACCATTTTAAGCCTCAGGAAATGAGGAGAGGCACGTAATCTGTTGTCTTTTCTGAAGATGATTTTCCTTCATATCGAGAGGGAAAAGGTAAC